GAGATTTTTACAGCATTAACTGTTGAATAAGACCTGTGTCATTGCTTTAAGATGTCCAGTTGGAGGATGAATTCCATCAGTGGAAACATGAAGTTGGGTTATACCCATTTGTCTAGGAAGACAAATAAGTTCATAAATGTTAGTTCGGTGGTTTAGTATTGTGGTACAGTTCAGCCTTGCAGTCAGACAGTCCATGGGGAGCTGCAGCATGTAGAAAGTGATGTGCACCCACAGGCCACCTGCTTCTCTGGTGATGTAATTTATAATGTAGCCAACAGGATTCCATTCTGGACAGAGGCTTCACAGTGTGTCAGTAGTGGTCCAGATGAGAAAAAACAGAACAAAACAAAAAAACCCCTAACACTGTGAATTGAATTTTTTTTTGTCGTAGTTTACCATGGCAGGCAGCTAAACACAACACAGCCATTTGCTCCATTCCCACCAGAGGGATGGGGGAGAGAACTGAAAACAGGTAAAAATCACAGGTTGAGATAAAAACATTTTAATAGGACAGAAAAGGAAGGGAAAATAATAATAATTATTAAAGAATATGCAAAACAAGTGAGGCACAATGTGCTTGCTCGCCACCTGCTGACCGATGCATCACCTTCTGGATGTCTTCTGCACTTCCTTCTTCCCCTTCCTAGTGGGAGTTACTAAACAAGCTTTCACACCCAGTATTTCTTCTTGAGTATAGAGGCAACTGATACTGTCATAGGTTGGTGCTCTGGTTCAGCTGCAGTGCCTGCTGCCAGAGTTGGAGAAGCCACAGTGCCTGTCATTTTGGTGCCAGATCCAGAGACCTTCTCTTTCCCATGAGGGTACTGAATAGTGTTGAACAGGGCTGGCAGGCATGGTCCAGGTCCCAGCACATTACAGTGATCTGTGTCTCTCTAGGATTGCCAGGGTGTCAGAATACTTCTTCCAAATATTTTATTAGTGTTTCAGGATCCTGCATGTATTCAGGGTGAAGTTCCAAAGCACTGGAGGTGCCCACTCTTCTACATACTTGCCCATACTACCCCATGCACCCTGCCACTCATAACTATCCAGCCTCAGGACAGATCTCTGGATGCTATTCTTAGATGGCTGTTTAACCTTAAACAAGACCTGAAGCTCATTCAGAATACATAGCAATAGGAATATGCTGGTTTGTACATCCCAAGGGTATTCAAAATTCTCAAGAGCTATTTTAACTCACCTGGAGGCGAAGGGAAAGGTAAGGGAATAGGGAAAGGTGTCCTCCATTGTCTCCCACAAAGACTGGCTCTTCAAGGAGAAAAGGTAGAGTGTACTTATTAACATTTTCCAATAGATGGTTCCCAAAGTACAGAGATAATAGCAGTGCTGAGTACAAATACCAGATTAGTCTCATGACCAGTAATTTATCATATCATAAGCCAGTATAGAAAAATTATAACCTTAACCCAATCCCCAGAGATGGTAAACAGCACAACAGGGAACATTCACAGCAAGTAAGGTGCTGCATAACACAACTCTGAGAACATATGCAACAACTCTGAGAGCAAATAAATCAACATTATGACCAGGAACTATTAAACCAATACAGGGAATGCTTATAACAAATGTTTTTCAACACACTCTGGTCAGATCTGTCATTATCTCAATCCTTCATGACCAGTGTTCGGCACCAAAAAAAAGACTGTTACGGTTTAAGCCCAGCCAGCAACAAAGTACCACAGAGCTACTCACTCATTCCCCTAAGGGGGATGGGGGAGAGAACTGGAAAAAGGTAAAACTTGTGGGTTGAAATAGAGATAGTTTAATAGGACAGAAAAGGTAGGGGAAATAATGCTAATGATAATATACAAAACAAGATGAAACAAGGACATTATGAAAGTGCAATTTTGAAATTGTCAAAGCATAGCAGGAGTCACATCCTATAATACAAGGAGACCCAGCCTGGAATGGTAGAGCCTCTTAAGAGGTAGAGTCCTGACTAGTTTCTGCATTCAAATGTCACTGATGAATTCTCATGTCCCATTATGCTAAAATGTTTTATGTCAGTGGTTTTGAGACAAGAAGTTTAGTCAGACACTGGATGTCTCATTCAATAGTATGTTACTGTTTTAATTATACTGAGAAAGTGATTTAGTTGTACTGGCACCAAAAGCTTCAGCAAATGTCAAGCTGGCTGCAAATGAGGCAATTCCAGACTGGACTTTCATTGAATTAAATGGATTATTTCCTTGGTGCCTTCCAAATCTTCAAATATATTTGGAATCTCTTACCCATTTTTCTAAGTCTGCCAACATCAGATTATTAAATGGCCCATTTTCCATAATATCAGTCTGGATTTTTCTCATCAGTCCCCTGATTATTATAAATTGCATGGAATGATATTTCAGAAGATTAATATTCCATCTGCCCTGCATGCTGCCAGGAGATCAAAATGATTGGCTGCTCCAGCTCAGACTTAATCTGCATGACAGGCTAACCGCTGTAAACGCCCTATGTGTTCACAGTGGGCTTGTCTACATGGGTGGTTTATGCTGGTGGAAAGCTGACTCTATCAGTACAAAGAAATCCTTGCCATACATCATTGACAAAATGTTTTGGAGCTTTTAATTCTGTTGAGATTAGTAGCACTGTCATAGTGGAATAAATACTGTTGAGTACCAATCTAATTTTGTCTGTGCTACCACATCTTTTTATCTGTCCAGTTACCTTCCTGTATTTCTTTGTATCTAGTCCTGCATGGCTGCCCTAAAGATTCCCACTTGTTTCTGGTCTCTGGCTGCTGCCCATTGGTAAATGAGAAGAAGGAGCTATTTCACATTTTAATGGAACTAGCATTAGTGCAAAGGTGTGGAGGACACCTACCCAGAAGCCTGAATACATAAAAAAGTAAAAATTCCGTCAGTAGTAGCTGCTAGCCAGCAATTTGTTTGGATATGGATTCTGTGTACTGGTTAATGTGACACATCACAGCAAAGAATCTTACTGTGATCTGAACCTCCTTGCACCTCACATTTAGGTATAATACATGGGATGGTCTTCTTTCCACACTAGTTTCAATATGAAGGCTATTGGAATGAGGATGGCAACAATAAACCCCATATTTGTAACCCAGAAGAGAGTAAAAATCAGTTTTCCAAGCTGTGACCTGTAAGTATGGTGCTTCCCTGCCTAGACAAATGTGTGATTAATAGTGTGGTTCTGCCTGCACCGAAGCTGTTGACTAACCTTAGTTCCTGGCAGTGGGAGCAAAAGCTGCTTAAACTGATGTTTGCAGGACCCCTGTGTCTGCCAACAGTGAAAGAGGGGGCTCCAGGAAGGCCACTATCATCCTCTGTATCAGAACACGTATAAGGGCTTTTTCTTGGCATACTCTGAAGTATGAGGCATACATCTGGCAGCTGCCAGCTGTGGACTTAAGAGGTAGATCAGGAAACTGTCTGACCCTTTGGTTCTCATTCTTTCTTTGTTTTCAGAGTCCTATCCCAGCACTACAGTCTGTATCACCCTGTTCACAAACTGTTCAACTCTAAGGGGAAGTGATGTTGGCCCAATAGTGAGCCAGCAATGAATAAGTATAATGTGGCAATTTATACTTTTGAATTATCAGTGACAAATGTGAGCTTCATCTCACAGAGAAGGTGATTCTGGTAATTTTTACACTCAGAACTACCCTGGACTGTAGATATTTGAACATAGTTGTGACAGAATAGTGTTGCTCACTTGAAGGAGCATCTTCAGGTTCTTCTTCCTCTGTATTTTTATCCTTGTAGCCTTTGCTGACGAGCTCTGTACCAAAGGGATGCCCAAAGGGACAGAAAAACATTCTGAGAAATGAAACTGTAAGTGCTTTCACGATGCTTACTTGTGCTTGTATTCATTTTGCACTGAACAGTGTCAGCATATTAAATTCACCTCTGGGTACAACCCCGCTGTAATACTATAAATCGGGAAAGAATTTGGCATATTGTATCTAAGTGGCTGCTGAAGTCAGAGTATGTAGGCTGTATAATCCTGTGTTTAACATTGTCCTGAATCTAAACTTTCCCCAGATGAAGAAGTTTTCATTGCTAATGCGCTCTTTTTAGAAGCCCTTTCCTGACTCTTTTTTTTTGGTCCCTGGTAATAACAACCACATTTAACCTTCAGAAAGACATTGAAACTGTGTGTGAACAAAACCATATTATCTGTTATTTTTGTGTGGTTGAAGCTAGCAAGGCCAAACAAAACCAGCCCTGCAGAGTTTCATACAAACGTGTGAAATAATCACCACCCTGAAGGTTTTGCCGTGAGGCAATGTAAACTTCGCAGAATGCAAAGCTATTCCAGCCCAGCTTCTGAACTAAGGATGCTCCTCTCCATCCAGGTCAGAACCTGTGCAGAGAAGCTGGTTACTCTCACCAGGCAGATATCATTTCAATACACAAAGCAAGCATTGCAGTGAAGTAAAGATTAGACAATAAGCAAGTGCTGTGACAAAGTACAGGATACTGGGGGGGTTGTGGCAAATACCTGCGTAGCAGGTCTCATGCTACCTCTGATGTTTGATTCTGTTCTCTTTGATTATTCAGTTTTCAGTATTTTTTGAGGGCAGATCTTTTCTTTTTCCTAATAAGAAGAGAATCTGTTGTCCTCCAGATATTTTTTGCAGACAGAGCACCTTATAAACTACTGAAGTTGTGACTCTGCCCTTGACAGCAGTGGGACAGAGAGCAAGAGAGATGGTGGGGGGTGGGGGGGAGAAAGCAAACACAAATTCAGCCTGGATGGTGAGTGTCTGATTTAATTTTTTTATCTTCTGTGGACACTGTCAGTACCCAGCAAATGACTGAATACCATTGAAACCCCACTATTTTAGACTATTACGTAAAAGATTTCAGCTTTGGGTTTTTCAGGTAGAAATGGGAAATGATTGCAGCAAGCACATCATTCCTGCAAGAATTTCGATTTTGCTGAAGACCTGATCTTCAACTGTAAAAAAAAAATTACATTTTTCATCTAGCTCCTTCTGCCCAGAGATTTTGTTCAGCACATTCCAGACAGAGCCAGGATGCATCATTATCTCCTTCAAGGAGATACTGATCACAGTAGCCCTGTAATGCTACTTGTGCTTATTTAAACTCTCAGAATAGTTACTAATGTCTTTCACCCTGCCCCTCCACTCCCCTAAAGCTGTTGTCAGGCAGAACTGCTGTAAGGGTTGAAGCACTAGTGAATGCAATTAGAAAGCTAAACCGTTTCTTGTACTTGCTAAAGAATTTCCAGTTGAAGTAAAATTTAAACACCTTTTTCTCTTCTGTTTTCTTTCTTCTGTTTGTAGATGAAGAATCAGAGTTTCTGCTGTTGAGGGCTGACATTAGTAGAGCTGTATCAGGCTGTCAGGGCTACTTCTACAGTCTGGTCCACTATTTCTCTGTGGTGTTAGCTCAGCCCACCCAGATAGGGCGGAGACTGGTCACTACTTTTGACTTTGGGAGCTTAGGGTATGTCCCTGGACTTAGATTTCAGTCAAGTGTTCTTCTCCATTACCAAGATTCAGAGGCTTCCCAAAACATCACACACATTTCTCTTGAGTCCTACATAGGCTTTGAGGACTCTAAACTGGTGTTGAATTTCTAATTCAACTGATCTGGAAAAACACAGAGGCAAAGAACACAGGTTCTTACCACAGACACTGTATTTCTAAAGCACCTAGCTGTACAGACCTTAAAAAACAAGATCAGCTACATAGCTACATTGAGGCAAATGTACCACTTCTGTAGGTCTAAAGTTTTACCCTTATTTTGGGAAAATCCCCCCTACGCTTTCTGTCTTGGAAGAAATCCACTGTATATAGTAGTGGTTGGCCACACTGTAGCAATGACTGCTTCAGTGTATTCCTCATCTGTCTTCTGTGTTCTCCACTGGGACACTGCTCCTGGAGTCATTATGCTCCAGCTGTAGTCTCTTGCATAGAAAATGTCCTGGTGAACAGTGACAGGCCAGGAGCTGAGGTGTGCAGAGTTGATGTCCCCAGCGCATACCTCTGAGGTTTTCATTGTGATGTGTTCCTTCAGTCGGCCAAGTAAGTAGTTCTGCTTGGCTAATCAGTGTGGACCTTACCCACCTCACTGTCCTACTCCTCCCTTGTTTTTTGGACACTTTGAATGATAAAGCTGCAATATAAAACAATAATCATAGAATCAGCCGGGTTGGAGAAGACCTTCAAGATCATCAAGTGCAACCTTACCTCTGGATTTCCAAGTCCACCACTAAACCATGTCATTAAGGGCCTCGTCTACATGTTTTTTTTTAATGCTTCCAGGATCAGTGATTCCACCACTTCCCCATGCAGCCTGTTCAATACCTGATAACCCTTTTGGTGGAGAAATTTTTCCTAATACCCAATCTAAACCTCCCCTGGTGCAGCTTGAGACCACTTGTCCTATCACTTGTCACTTGTTACTATCACCAACCACTTTCTTACTCCATCCTCCTTTCAGGTAGTTGTAGAGAGCAATAACAACTCTGAGAGCAATAACTCCCCCTGAGCCTTCTCTCATCATCATCATCATCATCATCATTATCTCTTAGGGACACAAAGGTGCCAGTTTGGAGCAGCAGGATACCCAATGTGTGTTCAGGTCATTCTGTGTCACTAACCTAAGTTCCAAGAATCACTTTTTGAAGCAGATGTGTTTAGCAGGGTAAATAGAGCCACTAAATGGTAAGGATTATTATTGGAACTTAATTGTAAAAGTCTCTTGAAAAGGTCCTGGATATTCCAGTTTATACTGATATTTTTTAAGGAATAACGGTCTGAATTTTTCTTCATGCCAGTGCCAAGCAGTATTATCATGGTCTTGAAGATGAAACCATCTGTTTTTTCAGTGGCCAGTCACAGTAAAAGTCCAGAATGCAAATTGCCCTATTAATTTCACAAAAGTAACAACTGCCCTCCAGAACCCACTTTTCTACCAGTTGTTTGGACAGTCAAGAAAGGGACAGTTTTTGTGACCCTGAGAAAATCCTATTGAAAAGTGCTTTGTCCAGTGGAAATGAATACAAAATCTGGTTGTAATGAAAACCACCCATTCTATTAGCAAAAAATATTACAAGTGGAGTGAAAATATCCAAGCCAACTTTCAAACTATTTCTTTCTAAAGTATTCTATACAATGAACTATGGGATTCAGTCTTTCACCTAACCAGATTTGTTCTGCAGTAGCTGTTAACTTGACACAAATGCAGAGAAAGAGCACATTCTGAAAAGTAATCATTTTTCAAATTTGAATACATTGTACTGGCTTTCTTTACTTTTACAGAATAGCATTTTTTATCTGAATAGTTCAAAGCATTCCTCAAATAATTTGTTACATCTCACCACCCCCTCTCTGAGGCTTTTAAATACTATTTTCCTCATTGCAGAAGATGGAAAAACAGAGAAATCAGAAAAATTAAGTTGCTTTCCTAAGGCCACACAGTGAGTCAGAATCGGAGTGAAGAGTAGAAGTCTCAAGTGATAACTTCTGCTGTGCCATTCCAAGTACTGGATTATAGAGTTTGCCTATGACATTCCCTACAGTGAGAAGTAATAGCTTTCTAAAGATCTGCTGTAATTCAACCTGGAAGTTACTGAGACAGATGCGTTAATTACTGGGTGAAATTCTGTGACCTAGCTATTCAAAGGGTCAGACTAGATGGTCAGAAAGGTCTTGTCCAGTCTTAAAATATAAGAGTCATTACCACCATACAAACCCATTTGCCCTTTCTCTCCTCCCAACAAAAATCAGTAATTAGTCATGTTTAAAAGCTTGCTATGAAACTGCATTTTTCAAATCTAAGGCATATTATGCTGGAGGTTAACAAAAATAGCTTCAGAATTCCTGAAAAATTGACAGATTGAATCAATCAAATCCATTTTTAATTTTATTTTGACAAAAATTCAAGCTGGGGCTGACAGCTCCTTGTAAAAACAACTTTGCTGACTGCAGTTTAAAACACATGCTATAAAACCTTGGGAACTGGATTTATAATAGAAACCTGGCTGTCTCCTAACTCTACCAGTATTATCACCATGTGTGACAATAATATATTAGGACCATACTTCAGAGCTCCTTCATTAGATTCTGACATACGGAGAAGAAAGGACAGCCTGAAAAGTAGGGAGAACATAGAGTGCAGCCTCAGCTGGCATATTTATCATCTAAATCAAGTGAAGGCTATTTATTGACTTATTGATTCTAATTCAAAATGAGAACTTAATTAAAGTTTAGTTCATTACCACACAATTACATGGCCCTCAAGACATTTCTAGGCTAGTAAAGTGCATGCTTAATCATGTGGTATATTGGGAAGGCTGGATCTTCAGTTGTTATAAATCAGACATGAGTGGTGCCATGCTAATTTACACCATCTGGGGACAGGGCCTATTAGTTTTCTATGCAGGAGACAGTTGTTATTGTTTTAAATAAGGGAACTACAATGTAATGTTGTCCTTTGCTGAGCAATAGCATATGTTAACTTCCCAGCAGAAGGGAAAGTAGTGATGAGAAATTTAGTCTCACTGCCATATATGCCACATATATATACCAGCCTCAGAACAGAAGTGCTCACAAACAGCATAAAGGACTGTCTGCCAAAATGTTAATACCAGACCCCAGAGAAGCTGTTCAGCTTTGGAAATGTGCTGTAGTGACTCTGCTAAAAGAGATTCTGGCAGAGAACAAACTTTCCTGCCAATTGCTCCAAAGAACCAGAGCACGCATGTATCAGGATGCAGCAACATCTACATAGATGTGCTCCACAAGCTCTGACATTCCTTCTGGTACTCAGCCTCCCAAGGCTGCACCTATATCTCACCGCTTGTCGTGCTTCTTCCCCCCTGTGCAGCTAGTGGAACAGTTTGGTTATGTAAATTTGGCTTCTGAGGCTGAGGTTCTTTGAATGCAGCAAATGCAGGGTTTGTCCCTGCAGGGAGGATCAGAGTCCTGGCTATATTTACATTCATACAATGGAGCATTCCAGGACTCTAGTCTTGAGCATTTTTATATGTCTACATATTTTTTGAACATTTTTGCATATTTACAAATTATCAGAACTTACAGTCTAGGAATCAAATTGTGAAAGACTTCCACGTGCCAGCACGAGGTATGCTACAGCATAGAGCTTTTGAAGACACTTAAGCTGTTCATGCAGATATACATTGTGTATCTTCAGTGACTGAAGTTCATGCTCTAAAAAAGAAACTTAGCAAAATCACACCAAATGATGTTCAGTATGAAGTCTTCGGATTATTCAGTCTGAAGTCTTCACTTTTCCTGGCATCTTTATTCTGCTAACTCTTCCCACCTCTGAGCCTCCTAAAAAGGATTAGGGGAGGCTCTTTCTGCATATGCTCATATTTTGGACTCTCAGCATAGGGCTTTCAGCAGTAATGTTGGGTGGGCTACTGTCAAGGAACACAAATTTTACTGCACTCCCGACCTCAGGGACTAAAATATTTTTCAGCTTCTGTGTACTGTGCTTAGACTGACTTTAACACATGAGTCAGACACCAGCAAGGAAGCAGGAATAGAAACAGTTTTCAGTTAATTCTTTATTAGCTATGGGGCTGTCACTTGCAGTTGAAAGGATGTGCACCCCATAAGGCAGCAGGCAAAAGGTGGCTGTATGAACGGCAAAGACTTTACCTGTTCAATCTGAAGTGAGCAAAGGTCACAGGCAAATGAGTTCAGAAGGGCACCAGACACAGCCAGGAAGCTGCATTCATGCATGTGCCACCCAGCAAAAATGAAGCATGTTCTGCAGGAAGCAGTGATTAATCTAACGTAGGCACACATGCTTGTGTGACTGCAGTGGTGGCAGCAACAGAGCCAGATAAGAGAAGCCTTAAGTGACAGAGCTTTTGAAAACTGATACATCTGTAGGCCAAGGAGTATCTGTGTAAGGGATCGATTGGGGGAACAGACATTTTAATAGCTGCATAGCAGGTGCACCTGCTACTACTCGATGTTCAACCAAATAGTATTTTCCAACTATTGATTGAGCACAGCCCAGAGCTGCCAAGGAGTTGTTTTCTCCATAATGCCAGATGATTGCTCTTCTGTGTTGTCTTGGACATTTCTGGAGCAAGAAGACATGGACTAAGATGGCTTCTACTATGCTTGGGCTGCAGTATCTCCAGCTGGCAAGGACCCATTGCAATTAGATTAATGGTTTGTGCCTTTCTAGCACTCATAGCTCTGAGCCATCACAGAGTCTGTGGCAATAGCTGTGTGAAACTTCCTGCTGTCTCAGGATCCCACTTACTGTTGCACTAATTGTTTTTTCTCTCCCTGCTTGTGCTTTCTCCAGGGTCCATTTTGGTAGGCTGAGATCAAGCAGCCCTTTTGTGTGTGGCCATTACTGCAATAAACAGAGGCATGAGTAGGGATAAAAGACTGCCTAGAAGCTATGTATGCTCTTGCCATAGCTTGTAAACTGGAGTCACTTCATTTTGCTTCTTTGCTTCTGGTATGTCTGTCTGTTTTTTCCATCCAAGAAAACAAACCATGGTTTTGCCCAGTTCCCTTGCAGAACTTTTGGCATCTGAGAGAGAATTTCCCAGACACCTTATGAATCCCACTGAAGTCTGAAATAGAGCAGTTCAGGGCTTGTAGAGCTCTTAATAAAACTGGCATCAGCAGGCGTGTTAACAAAGCAATGCCACTAAGCAGTTTATTTTTCAGGCTTGCAGAAACTGGTTTGATGGGGAAGAGCTCATGCTAGATAAATTTTACATTGATTTCAGATAGTGTCCTAGTAGGGAGGGTAACTGAACATTACAACAGTAGATGAAGGGGGCAGCATGATTGACATCACTCAGAGTCTTAAGAGGCAGTTTGGATATCTTTCTAAAATATATTCTTTCAAACTGGCTTTGGCTTGAATGGTCCCTTCTGGTCAAGGAATCTGTGCAGAATGTATCATTCATTCCCCTCTTTCCTTCATATGTAACAGGCAGAATAGGTCCTCAGCATGATCATCATTTGCATAAAGATAATGGTTGTAATAAAAGCTTGTGCTTCAGGGGTTTAGCTGGGTAACCACTGGGGTCAAGAAAGATTTTTTGCTCCCACTATACAATTAGCCAGATGTACTCTGAGCTCATGTTTGCTTAGTTCATCTCAAGCGCTGGAAATTGGCCGTGCCCAGAGACCAACTCCTCAATGGTGAACCTCACAACGGCCTGGTCCTCTCTCCAGTACCCAGGGGAAGTGGTTCGCTCATGTGCTCAGACCTCAGAGCATCTCTTGCAGATGGAGAGTATTGGTTTGCTGGGTGTATCTCACCAAGCAATGCCTCATCTCCAGACAATCCCCAAGTAACCTGTGAGGCTTTGGAAATGTAACAACCTGCAATGAAGATTAAAGTTAATCCTTTGTTTCTAAACTTTTCTGTTTGCAACACAATTTCTGAAGTTGTAATTCCTTTCTGTGCACATAACGTCATTTGGGGAGGACAATCCCAACATGGAAATATATACAATAAATAATCAGTAGTTTCTTACAGCCTCTGGTGCTGCATTTGTATAGCTTGCATAGGCATAGCCACCTTCACCCCCAGCTCAGTCACTTTCAGAGACTCTGATGGAAAAAGGGGCTGCAGGTGAGTAAGCCCAGTCACACCAGGGAGAGTCTGCAGAAGCAAAGGTGAGTGGCACCAGCCACACCCTGTGTATTAACAAGCAGCTGGAAATGCTTAGGGAAGCTGTCTGCAAGATGTTGCAAAGTAGCCCTGCTGGGAGAATAAGAAGGTAAAGCCTCCAGTTGTCTTTTGTTTTGGTTTGGTTTGGTGAAGGCAGACTGAAACTGGAAATCAGATGTGAGGGTAACATGACAGTCTCATGTTTGCTTTCAGGGTTGCTGTGCGTTAATCCAAATTTACAGCAGGCTTTTGTCAGACTTATTTCTACCTTGTGGGAACCAAGAGCTATCTGTATTACGCAGATTCTTAGAGAAACTGTAATCTCTGGGCTGAGTCTTACCTGTGTGAGTAAAAGGGTAAGTATAAAGATCTGTACCTGAGGATGTGCATCACCTGGAATCAGAAGATAGATTTGATCCTTGTTTTCAAGCTCTGGTGATCTTAATGGAGCAGGAAGAAGCCTAATAAGATTTGCCAGGAGGCATTACTGAGCTCTGGTGTCTGTGGCAGCTGAATGCTGCATAAAATGTGCAACTGTTCCTATGCTGCAGAGCCTTTGGGTTGAGTCATTGGCCTTCTACTATGATTCCCTTGGCAGTAAAACTTCCATCTTTATGGCAAAGTAGTCAGATTCATTTAATACAAATACATTTTCTAATACAGGGGTCCTGTGGCTCAGAATGGGTCTTGATCCTGCAGCTGTGATTGTACCTATTTTCATTATTGTAAGCAATTGTTTTTAGTAGAGCTGCTCACAGGAATGCATCTGCTGTTAATCTTGTCCAGTGCTGGAAAGTTCTACTTTCAAATATTTTCTTACTCAAAGTGTGACTTCCTGTGGCTACTCTACTGCACAGGTTTGGCTATTAATAGCTAATTCTTTTCACCTTGTACACAGTAGCCTTCCTCCTCTTGCTCTGTTAGGAACTTTCATGAAGCCTGATCTTGATGCTTTTTTTAGTTGTTGAAAAGAAGGCTAGGTAAGGGAATATACTTAATGTACTCTAAATTCATAGAGCAACCATTTAGCACAGAACAAGATCTGATTTGCAGTCTTCCTTTCTTACTGCTACAGAACGCTAACAGAAACATGGTAGAAGCAGGAGTTATTTTATGTATAACCAAAAATCTGTCTTGTGTAGGAAAGCTTCAGGTTTCTTAGAACTGAAGTTAGAACTGAGTGCTGCAAGATGAATGCCTGCTTTAAAGAATTTCCTTTCAAGCCATTCTTTCAGAATTTTCATGTGTTCCAATACCATATATTTTGACAGTGCTCTTTTTTTCACCAGTGCTCCTGAGCAGGGCTGGATTTGTCCCATGAGGGGTTTACAAAATCTCACTTCCCCCCCCCCCCCCCCTTTGTTTTCTTTTTGGCATTAACATCAGAGCTACCTCAGAATCTTCAAAATCTAAGTAAACAGTTTTTCAGAAAAAAAATTGCAGAGTGCTAGAAGTCAATGGAATTTCTTTTCACTAACAAAGTGCAAAGTCTAGTTTTACTTAGAAGTTTTTGATGTTCTTCTAGCTCCTGCTGGATTCTGGGGTTTGTGCTGTTTGAGAATCTTTTTGTTTTTTTTTCTTTGCCATGAATAATAGCACCTGATTTATCCTGAAATCTGCTTTCTCTAGAGCTTTGTCACCATTCAGTGACTCAGGTGTGGGGTTTTTTTCCCCTTCCTTTTTGAAGGGAACAAATATTCCAGTTACAAGCCGATTGTCTTATAACCACAGTATTTCAAATATACATTGATTCTTGATCCCATCTTGCTTAGTGAAACTTACACTGTCAGTGATGTGACGGTGCATGACACCAGGACAAACATTTGCTCAGCAGCAGCCAATATGGGAGTTTGGGGATAATAAACTACCTTTTACAAGCCTTGAAAAAAAAATGGGAATTTTAGTTTAGGTTATATTGACTGTTAAATATGAAGTGTTACCTTTAAAACAAAATCACAGCTGGTTAGCGTTATACCAGTTACAATTCCTTTCTCTAAAAATATTTAAGTTAGGGTACAATCTTGAAAGCAAAGAGCTTGCGTTTTTCCAACCATTAATACAATATCCTTTAGTGAACTGTATTAATTTCAAGCATTTTAATCAGAGCTGCTGCTACCACTTCCTGCAAGGTTTAGATTTGTTTGCCCCACTAACTGACTAGTGTTGCAATCATCTGTAAACACGGAACATTTAGAGTTAATAAAAGGAAAACACTGAAGCTTTGATCAGGGAAAAAGCAGGAGGTGGGGTTTGGTTTTAAATTTCTTCTTCATGATTTTACAGTTTATTAGCACCAGGTTAAACAAGCTAATGGGTTCAAATTATAACAAAATAATTGCAGTGGTTTATAGAGTGACTATGAAATATCCCCCTTCCCCTTTTTAACCTTTCATCTTAGTCTCATTCTTATCTGTGGACTGCCCCTTTGCCCTCCTCTTCCACTTTGCCTGAAAAATAAGCAGAAAATACAGTTTATGTTATGGCTGTACACATTTCTAGCATCTTTTTAATACATCCCCAGAAGAAAGTGGATAAACAAATACACTTTTTTAACGGTTGTAGAGCATTTGCTTAACATTGGCTAAGTCCCCAATAACTAGCAGAAGATTATACATGCAAATCTAATTTTCTTGCTAACTTAAGTCTCTCTTGGGAAACTTGGTGGCTGCCTGCAAACATCTTCCCTGAATCAGGAGTATTGGCAAAGGTGTGTTATGTTGCTAAAAGTATATAATGTAAAAAGTGAACTAAAAAATTGAAGAAGATTTCAAAAGTAGGAGGAGATGGAAAAGGGAAGTACTATAAAGGGAAGGGCATCTATAAAGACAGAGGGGTCTAAGCCTTTTACAATAGAGGCAGTCTGAAATAACCATGGTTTCTTCTTTGAGTCGTGAGAATAGCTATTTTCTTGTTTAAAAGCTTAAAGAGCTATTAAGTTGGGCAAATCACTGGTAAAACAGCTGGAAATGTAAATAGCAATTTAAACAGTCCATTGCCCCTCAATCCAAATGTGGAATGTGCAGATCTACTTCAAAAAAGTTCCTCTGGTTTTATTATATTGTCAACGGTAAGAGGATTGAGTAGGCACCTTTTCTCTGTGGACTGAATGGAGATAGTGTGCTTTATTTAGAAAATCTACTTTTTTTAATTTTTTTCCTTTTCTCTTTTTTTTTTTTTGTTTCCTCCCTTTTTCCTTTTTTCCTTGTTCTCAATTTTTGTTTTAATTTTTTTTTTTTTTCCAAGTGAGCAGACGGGTCTCTAATTTTCACACCATTCTCCCTTAGAGACCTCCTTCAATTGCACCATTCTTTCATTATGTGGAACTAATGAAGTGCTCTGCAACCTTTAGGTCTCCAAAGAATCCATTCCATTGCTCTAGGAATATAGTCCTTAAATAAAACATGTTTCATTGGCTGACTTCAAAACACTATTCTTAAGGGGGGGAGAAGGGGGTGGATAAATAATTGGCCTGGAATCACTGTGTGAAAAAAAAGAAATTACATTGGACAATGCTTTTAAATTATAGTTACACTCAAAGGATACATTCAGCAATGGCAGTGTTGGTTCTTATTCTAGTGAGTTGCCAAAATTGGAATATAGTTTTTTGAACTCCCAAATTACAAATCTTTTTATGAGTATTGTCTTTTCAGTGCCTGCCTTCTACTGAAAACTAATGGGGTTTGTGGTGCAAAAAATAATGCAATGCCAGATCAATAAGACTAATAATTCAGCAGCTGAGTTTGAAGGCTGGCTGCCTTGGGTGTCTTAAGAATAACACCTCACATTTTATACATTGCTTTTCATCTTCAAAGTACCCACCAAACACTAACTCAGTCATGTGGCTTGTTTATTCAGCCTGTGAAAGCATAGATCTATATTATCCATGATGTATCAGATGCCTTATTTTCCCATGAATATTTGTGGGTATGAATGCAACTTATTTTTGTTTGCCGTTATGAACCTTGTAGTTCATAATGGCATAGCTATTTGAAATTTGTCAAAGTCTCTTCTCTTTCTAAGCAATGTCTGCCCTCTGGCATTTTTAATTGATTTGCCTTTCTTTAAAGCTTTTCATTGGTTTGAGCCCTGTTTGCCTTCCCCTGTCCTAAAATGAATATCCTTACAAGCAAAATATGCTGTCTCATAATATTCTTGTCTGCAAAGTCTGCCTTTAAATTAAAAAAAAAAAGGAAAAGAAAAAACTAAAAAATAAAGGGATATAACAAAAGGGGAAATAAAGCTATAGTTCAACATAAGATTGCTTGTATATGTTGAGCTTATATCTGAACACACAAAAGAACTGTAAACATTTCATTTTTATTAGTATTTTCCTTGAGCATTGCTTATCTTCTGCTTAATTTTATTTGATGCTTGATCTAATTTGTAGCATTTTGGATTTTGTCATTGGTAAACTGAAATAACACTATCAGCATGATTATTGTTATAGTACTGGTATGAGGAATTTGCTGGCTTAATTTCAGTGAAAACTAGAACAAACTGTAATGTCTGTCTTTGTCTGTCAAACAATTTACATTTATAGAAACTGTTGTAATCATCTATTTTTGAGTGAAAGTATTTCTTGGAGCATAACTATTCTACAAACCCCAGGACTTATCCCAAATTTCTAGTCTAAAAATAACCTTTTTAAGCTCCTTTGAACAGATTAGAAAACAAAACAGTGCTTAAGCAACATGGAGCTTTAGTTTTCAGATGGCTAAGGAGAAGTTACAGTCTTCAATTAGCTCCCACTGTATCTTGGTAGGATAGTGTTTTGCAGCACCGAAAGCTGGAGCAGGAGTCAAGAGTATGGACTCAGTTTTGCCAAGGTCATTAGTAGCAATAGTTACCTGATTGTGGAAAGTCTTGAGTAGCCTGATATCAAACATGTGTGGACCTTACAGTTGCTGTCTTAAGCCATTCTGAGTTGTATAATGGAGACACCTGAAATTCATTTTGAAGTCTCAGCTCTGAAGCTATTTCTGAGTTTCCAAACTTCCCATATGAACCTCAGAGTTGTTTAACTGCTCTGTGAGTTCTTTCCCTTATCTTTACTAGGGAAGCATAATACTCCCCTTTTCTGTGTTATGAAACCTAATTCATTAATATTTATCAATGTCTTTGTGCAGAAAAGAGTTCTATAGTACCGAACTCTTCATAAATAATTTTTGAAATTGCAAATTGGAAACCTGCTGGAGTTTCTATAGCTTTGTATGAGCCATTCTTGAGCTGGATCCTGCTAGTTCCTTGTGTAGAACTTTTTGTGATTTTGGTGCCTAGAGAGGAGCTTCCTATTGTGCTTCTTTCCCAAACAGTGTAGGCAGTCCTAGCCTGACAAGCTGTGGTTGGCAAGCAATGGGAACATGTAGTGATGGACAGATGACTGGCTGGCACAGCTGGAAGTGCTTGCAGTTGTTGCCTGGCTCCTTGTGGTATCCTTCCTCTACAGGTGCAATTTTGTGGGCTCTACTACACCTCCATTGTGTGCCATTTGAAAGAGGACATGCAATGCAAGCTTCTCACAGGGCTGACACTACTGGTTTGCACTACTGGTATGCACTCTGCAGAGTTGTTCATCTTGCTGCTTAGATCTGGCAGGGTTTGGACATCCTTGATGCAAACCTGAGTGTATAACTGAAGGCTGAATAAAGTCAGTAGGAAGCTGTACAGATTTCTGAGTTGTTGGGTTGGATGTGCAGAAGTAGAAAGCAGATGAGAATTGAGACCTTGTTTTGAACGTTTAATCACCTGCTAGCTGAAGGCCAAATGTACAGGGAAAGCTGTAGAAGGTAAATATTGCCATGTTCAGTGTCAGGTCAATAAACATGTAGATTAAGCTGTCTATTTCTAGGTGTAAAGAGAGAAACCCGAGATGCTGTGTTTAAAGAATGTTCTGAACATCAACAAGGTCTTATATATGCTATCTGCAGTCTTGGTCTTGACCCATGTAGATATCTACATACACCTAATCTGCACTTTTTGGAGTCCAGTGGTTGTTTACATTCACTTGGTAATTGGTGGGATGAGTATTGACTTTTACTTCTGCTTCTACTGTAGGCATTTTATTGAAATTAATTCAAAATTATTTTAGATGTGTAATTAAAGTATGATCAGTTGAAATATGATAAGAGTTTGTCTGGGACTTCTCAGTCAGTAGCTTCTGCTTCCTGTATTTTCACTTGATGAGGATATGCATGTTTTCCTGATGAGCTTTCTGAGCACACCTTTGTGAACCACTTACCATCCTGTTCTCTTCTGTAAGCTTCATTCACTGTAATTTAATATACCTGTGTTAATCCAATCCATCTCTAATGACATAAGAACGCTAACAAACTACAACATTATTAATGGGTCCAAACTGTGCATTTTATATTGTTTGAAAAGAGAAGCAGTAAGCATATGAGACCAAATCCTGCCATATTTATTCATACAACTAGGCCCATTCAGTTGAACAGGATAATATGCAGGATTAAGGTGGGTGGAGTTTTAACCTTTCTATATCAAGGCCTCCTGAGGATGCTACATTTAATTCTATTTCATAATCTTCTCTTTTATTTGCCATTTCACACCACCTGAAACTGCAGCTGCCTTTCAGGAATTGAGTTAGTCTAAGCTTCAGCTTTCTCGTAGGTAGTTTAGTGCGCTAAAACATTGGCTTCTCTGCAGAGCCCTTAGGGAGAAGAACTCATTTAGTAGAAAATGATAATTGGGTTTTCCAAATGGTTCTGGAATTGCCGCTGTATATTTGGATAAGGTGATATATTTTAAAAGCCCCTGCAACTATGTAACCAAGCAGGCTGTGCTTTAAGGATGAAGCAGGCTACTGGGTAACCATAAGTCCTGGTTCCTTTAAAGATATTTACTGGGAAAACATGCAAGTGTGAGATAACCATTCTATCATAGAGAAGCAGCAAGCTTTCAGTATGAGGGTTTGTGGAGGGATGTTCACTTTCTATGCTGGAGAAGGATTACTGTTGTGTCCTTCACAGCAGTATTGGGAAAAGGGGCTGATGAGCATGGCCCATGAGCCCTGGACTGACAGCAACTCTAATTGCACCTGCAGAGTACAACTCTGAAATACAATCTTGGAACTTGGGGAAAATGTCGTAGAAGGAATGAAAATTTGCTGACCTTTTGTTTTGATAAACTCTCTTCAAACTCAGGCTATAAGATCTGCAAATATCAACACCCATGGGTGTATAGACTTCTCTAATTTCTTTTTCTTTTTTCTTTTTTTTTTTTTTTTTTGAGGAGGAGGCAGCATTGGTTAATGTTGTTTAAAAGAGTGAGGCAATAATCTGAGCTTGGGTATTTTCTGTGATATTTTCCTCTGTTGGAAGTTTCTCTTAAACCACAATGATCATACTAGTTACATGCCATGCAATTTGTCTGGTGTGTTGAGAAGCACAGGCTGATTCTACTCCAGACATGTTTTTTGCCTGTTGCTCCA